AAAAACTTCTGAGGCTTTGCATGAGCCTCCAATTTCTGCATAATCGAACGATAATGGAATAACGATGCCATTATCTGCCTCTGTTATATTTCTTTTGGTTGAAAGAAGCTCGAAAGTTTGTGCAGTAGTAAATTAGAAAGCATTAATAATGTCGTTTTTTTTTAATTCATGTGTTTGAATTAGCGTAAAAAATGCGAGATCTAATAATAAAATATGTTTTTTGTAAAAGTTATACCATATAAGATAGCCCAGATAAGAAAGCCCAGTCGTGGGACAATTTTAGTTAGCGAAAGACGTTTTAAAGGATTATGTGAAGCCACCACATCTATTCGAGATCGCTACAATAGAAGTTAATGTCGCTGAGAAACGAAGTCACGCTTTGAATTACTTCCGCAAAAAGAGTAATTTAATTCCACAATTGCAATACCATAGAACGGTTAACAAGTGTTTTGCAATTAAACGATAGATTTAACGGAAGTTTAAGTGTACACCATTCACATACAAGAGAATACTGAATTTTTATTATCCATTACGTCTATATAATACTAAAATTTAGTTGACTGTGACGACACAGTTCAGTATTGCTCACAACATAATTATATCTTTTATTACCATCTACAATAAAATAATGGATACTAAGAACAAAAAATGTACCTATAATTTTTTAAGTAAATGCGACGGATCGAGACTGTAGATCTAATGTCAGCTACCTACATCACAATCACAAACTTATTTGTATGGGTCTGTAGTAAACAGAACGCTTTGCTAGGTGTTTTTTTGTTATACTCTTTATATTTATTTAAAACAGTGTCGTATTGCAAGCAACCGCAAATTTCTATAGCCTAGACGGGTTAGTAAAAATTCACCAACCTTTTGAAAATTAAAAAAAAGTCAGTAACGCAAGCGAAGACGATTTTCCAACAAATCGGCCTAGCCGCTCACTATTTGTTCCACGCCACCTGCGATGGCATCCTATAGCTAAAAATAGCCACAACCATAACATCCCAACAACTTAAGTAGAAGGGTTCCACAACAAAATATTGCAACTTTAATCACGAATACTTCGATGCGAGGGGTGGAGAAGCCTATTCCATACAGCCAGCCGAGTGAGTGATTGAACGTCTACCTTGTGAGGAATAATAATCATCGTGGACCAAGTGTCTGGTGAAATCGTGAAACAAAGACGGCTGTATTTTTACGACTTCAACTCTCTTCTAGCTCTGGCTAGCAAGATAACAATCCAGACATTTATTAACGACTCATGAAACAAAAAAACAAAAAGAATTTAAAAACGTAGCTCCCAGCTAAAAATAATTAAAACACAATTGAAAAAAATAATGAAGAGACAAGTGATTGGTCCATAAGAAAGGAAACATGCCCAGTTGATCTAACGTAGCATAACAAACATGAAGCGAAAACGACCGGGTACCCGATTGACGTTCTAGATGGACCTTATATTCTGAAAAAGTTCCCCACCACTGACATTATTTTTAATACCCCCCAGAGAGCACTCCCTGTGGTTGTAATATTAACTATTTTTAATATGTATCTTAGCGTAACGACCTGTGTGACCTATTTCGACAAAACAAAATAAAACAATTGTTAATTTATTACCCTGAGGTTATTGTTAACTAAAGGTAACAAACACATTTGTGGCAAACTCAGTTTGCATACAGCTGCTGCGAAGCATCCTATACCGCAGTTGCGATAGTCATGAGTTTTTTTTCTCAACGTTCTATGTACATGTTTTAATGTTAATTGTTAATTTCTAAAGGAATATACAGTATGTTTCAACTGACGCTTTTTTTTAATGTAAATGATGTTAAAATGTGTGGCCCTCAAGATACAAATTAATTTCTTATAAACTTTACAGTTACAAAGTTTCTAGTTTTCATTGAAGAATGGACTTTCACTATAAAAAATAATATTGAACACATTTTCCTTGTTTCAATAGTACTTAAAATAAAACTGCCTAATTGTATTTATTTTTTGTTCAATACTTTTACCTAAATCTTTCCGCCCTCCCTTGTACGGTTGACGAGGGCCGCCACTGTATCTCAACAGTTTATAAGAAAAACTTCTTATATAAACTCAACAATTTCGGGACAGGTTTAAGTACTAAAATTAACGTTCAAATTAACGTTGACTTAAATTGAAATACTTCTGGAACTTATATTTATGAAATGAGTTTAAATTAAGGAACTCGCCGTGTTTTTATTTAATTAAGATACGTGTAGAAGAAGAGACTCGTGCATCCAGACATTCGCCGAACTAAAAGAGTGCCTCATTAATTTGTACAACCCAATTTCTGTCTAATTTAATGTAGCAATTTATATTCACCAAGGAGTGCTTTTGCTTTTAAAACTATCTGTATTGTCCTCTAATTTATTTTCCTGCCTTAAAGTTTTATCGTTCAATTCAATTCCCTTAAAACCTTACAGGGTGACCATATTAAATTCTATCTTGTATTACATCTACAAAAATATTTGGAAAAGTGAGATATTTTGAAATGAGACGAGTATATTAGTCAAGTCTTTTAAATAATGTCACTTTCTAGTTATATAATAATATATGTTTACTTTTCTGAAATATTGAAAAGTTGCTTGTTACTTTCTCAATTTTTAGAATATTTAGAGAATACTATTATCGGTTTAACCACTAGATCGTCAAATATGATTGTGTTTGGTGGGCATCAACTGTTATAATAACAAAAAAATACTACTTGGAACTTAATAAATTCGGCAAAACAATAAGTGATGGTTAAGGCAAATATAAATACTTAAATTCAGTGGCGGTTTTACCATAAGAGCTGCGGAGCTGCAGAACACATAAAATTTTATGTATTTAATCATATTAAATATCAACAAAATATTTAAAGAATCCAAATGTACTCGCGCTAAAATAAATCTAGGAGCTTATATTATTATTTATTGCGACGCGAGCTACGCTCCTTAATATATGCAACCTCATATACACAATGTGTGGACAGCGAACAATTATATGCGTCCTTTGTTTTTATTGGCTGATCAGGCACGTGACCCAGTACACGGAGATAGGGGCTTTTGCGGCTGCAATAGTGACAGCCACTGCGCTGCAGTCTGCAGTAAATGCAGTAATATTTCGTACGTGGTATGTGGTGGTTTATTTCTGCGAGCGGCACGTGTGAATATTTTCGTTTAGGCGTCTACGGATATTATAGTTATTAAAATGAATAGCGTTTCGTTTAAAAAAAAACTTTATTTGGTTCTCTGCCTTATGAGGATAAACTAAAAATAAAAGAAGTAAAAGTTATAAAAAAACAATAATGTATACACAAAAGCAGAGTGGGTGTGCGGGTGTGATTTAAAATATTCACTGTTTTGTTTTCCGTGCTTACTTTTCGGTGGGGATAAAGCATGGACAATATACAGTGTGAAAGATTTAAGTCATTAAGTCTTTAGGTAAAATAAACATAAGAAGTCAGTTAGATTCTGCATATTGGGATAATATACGGAAACATATGAACAGGTAATGAAAAATCGTCATGTATTATTTAAAATCATAGATTGCATAAAATTTTGCGGAGCTTTCGAATTAGCACTTCTCGGACACGACGAGACAGAAAATTCGGACAACCCTGATGTGTTTCGTGGACTCATAAATTTTAGTGTAGATCTTGACGACATTTTAAAAGAACATCTAGCCACATTGGTATGACCGGGATTTTCTGTGATTGTACCGGGAATTAGCTGTATGGTCCCGGATTTCGGATTTGCACGTATAACTCCCGGAATATAATATAATGTACATATATATAAAAAAAGATAAAGAAAAAATCATAACACGCCGAGGAAAATTAAAATTCGTTGAATCGTTGGTAAATTTCACAAACGATTTTTTTTTATAAACAATATTCAATAATTTAATAAAATATATTTAGTTTATTCCAATTTATTATACCATCAGTAGGTAATTCGTAAATGGATATTTCAAAAAGGTATCAATTTCAAAAATCATTCTTGTGAAAATCTGTATTTTTTTATAAATTCATTGTTCCTTGAAATTCAGAAGTGCCAGGAAAACGCGTGACCTTGAAAATTTTAAAATTTTTCGCCTGCGGCGCTATTTAGAGACTCCGGGCACTTAATATCCCGGAATTCAATTCAACAAATGTAACAACATCCTAAGCAGAACACATTCAATCAATGTTCACGCGCCGCCACTGCTTAAATTGTAACAATAGTTGTTGCAATAAGCACTAAAAATTACTTTTATTAAGAACTAAGAAATATTTGATACAAATATTATATTATAATAATAAAATTGGTTTTAGATTAGATTTTGAAAGAACTAGAATTTCTTTAAATATATTCTCCATCTATCCTTGTACTTATCTAATGTACTTATCTCTGTATCATTCTTATTCAGTGGAATACGAATTTTTATTCCACCTCTCACTGAAACCTCATCTCCAAATAAAAATATATTTATTCTTATTCCACACTACTGTAATATGAAAGTTTCCATTTTCCATCATCTGAAACTTAAATTTTATTCCCTCCGGATCCACTTCGAGATTCCTCTGTTATTTAAATTTAAACTTTGCGTATTTGATTTATGCACTTGAGGGTAAAACAAAATAGACGGATCAACTTCTGCATGTCTCCAAGTCGGATTCTGCGGTGCATACCATTGAACTTCATTTTATCTATGAAAAAATTAATATCACTAACTAAAATGTTTTCTGTTTGGTATTTACTTAAGCCCCGGAATTACTAAATTTCGTGTGGAACTATTCTTCTTCGAAAATGCGGTTGGTCAGGCAATAATAGTTATTGGTGCTCGCTATCGCGACATGATAATCCAGTTTTTGTGCCTAAATTGCAAGAAAGAATTCAATTACTGCTTGAGTCATTTCCTGGTCGTGTAACTTCCCGTTTTGGTGGTCAGAATTGGCCGCCCAAAATTACAATTTTTTTTGGTACATCCTATGGACGATGTAAATGAAACTTCGATTTTGTACAAAAACGTTTTATTCAAAATAAATCTGTTCCTTACTTATACGCATATTTATAGACTATTTTATAGTTAAAAATCTCTCTAAAACTCCATACAAATGTAGTGTTCAGTAAAAGAAAAATTATAATTCAAATCAATTAAGTAAAAGTCGCTACTGAAGTATGTCTTATGTTACAATAAAATTCTTTGGCGATATAGGTATCAATACTAATATTTACTTACAAGAAAAAATTACATTAGCACACAAGATGGCCTAGAAGCACCGATAAAACAAACACTTAAGTCCGATAATCTCTAATAACGGTTAAATACTTAACCTACTATTCATTATTATCATTTATCACAATAAGAAAACACAAAGGCGAGTGTAGTATGTACAATAAATACTTAATTCCTATTTCTCATCCTAATTCTTTTTATTACAGTCTCTAACGTCCAAGAAGTCACTACTATAAGCAGAATGACGTTCAGGATGTGTATACAAATGCGGAAGCTGAACAGATCCTTCAGCAAGCCTGAAACAAAATTAACATGATTAACAATTGAAATTGAAGTGTTTAATGTATTGAAAATAGAAATTGTTTCAATTATTTTTAGATGATTCTAGCTTTCTTAACCACAAACCGGGTGGTCCTTATATACAGGGTTTGCCATCGAAAACGATCGCCCCCGTAACTCTTTCAGTTCTGACTTTTGGAAAAATTCCCTATAAAAGAGAAAACAATTGCATATCGCATTTGTGTATACGTGTAAACTGAAGATAATTCACTCTGGAACTGCATTTTTTTTCAAATTTAAAATAAATTATACATATTAAAAATAATTCTACAGGGTGGGCCATTAATGTGAGACAGTACAATAACTCCCTTGTTACTCATAATACAGAAAAAAAGTTTATATAAAAGTTGTACAGAATCAAGAAACCTAAACTACAAAATTAAATTTGAAACATGCAGGCCGATGAGTAAAAATGGGACACGCCAAATATTACTTTTTTTAAATTGAACACCCTGTATATTTTTAAACACGTGGATTTTGGAGAAAATTCTATATATGACAATATAAACAGCTTAATATTTTAGTACGGGGTTGCCAAATGTTAGACAAAGGCTCCTACATTAGCTAATATCGATATTTTGTACATGGTGTTTTTTATAATACGATCATTTTTAGAAAGTTCAAACTTGATTTTCTAAAATTATTCAAATGAGAACACCCTGTATTTTCCTGTTCTGTTTTATTCACATATCGGTCCACTTTAACTTTTATTAAGCATGTCTACACCTAAAATTGTTAGTGTTTAAGATATAGCAACATTTCTGACAAAACTTAATTTTTATTATTTTCGGTCTCACGAGATGGCTTTGGAAAAACTGTCACATTGCGTCAACTTATCAGTTCATAATTCCATTTTGAGTTTTTTGAAATGTTCAATTGTTTTTTCTAAAGGTAAATTTCAATCAGGCTTTTATTGGGAAGATGTCACAACATTGTATGACGAGAACAGAGAATTAAAATTAAGTTGAATTGTTAAATTATATCAAAAATGATTATAAAAGAAATATAACCCAAATAAATCACGAAATGAATATGGACATATTTAATGCAGATGGCAAGCAATTTCATGACATATTCGTACTTTTTAACTATCTTTTGAATTTTGAAAATCGATTCTACATATTTGCGTTATTAGGATCATATTAATAGAATAGACAAAATGATTTCTGATAATTCTGTTGAAATTTCGACTCATCAACAGTGCCTTGATATGTTAACGGTGTTCATAAATTTTGCAGCAACTGTCCTAATCTCTATTGATAATTTTGTTATAAAATTATTGTTTACTCAGCGGTCATCGCTCTCACATATACACGATAATTTTAGAACTGTTTTGCTACAAATCCATTTAAGAGAAGACAAAAATAAAATGTTTATGATACACCTAATGGTGTTTGCGACACATTTTGTTCTCTTAACAACGAATTAGTCAAAAGTGAAAAACTCGGCGTCTTTGATTTTTGTACTCGTATCTAAAGCAGCCCACACACGTGCGGTGCAATATTTTTATTTACCTGATTTGAGGCCTCGTAGATATAAAAGGAATTACTCATTCCTTTCATAATAATGCATTTTTAATATTGAAAATACTTACCCAAAGCCTGTCCCACCGTGACGACGAGCAGACCTTTTGACACCATATTCAAACCAACTGCGGACGGCAATTTGTCTTTTTCTATGTACTCGGAAATCACCAAGTTCTGGTTTATAACAGTCACCGCTCTGAAATAGCCAATGAAGAAAGCAGACGTGAAGATGTAGTTAAATTCTGTCATTTCCACCATGCCTAAGAAACATAAAAACGTAAAATTAATTATATCTGTCGCTGATGGTAGGAGCTATTGCAGACCAAATGACATTATGGAAACTGCTGATCATGTCAGCTTGATCAGTAGGATTACAGGTCTTGTTGATTAAAAACTGAAGTGGTTTAGATTAAAAAGTGTTTGAAAACTTTAGTAATAACATTTAATATGTTAATTTTACTTCTTTCTTAATTCTATGCATTCAAAAACAAATACGAGAAATCAGATATTTTCACTTTATACTGCTTTTACTACTTTTTAAAATCCAAAAACACCTTAATAATCCATCCAATCTGAGATACTCGTTTCCAAAATTTCCTAAAGCAGTTTATTTTTAAAATCGATTTTAAGTCATTTTGTCAAGGGCTTTGACATTACATACAAAGTGCCTCACAATTTAATGACATTTTAATTCTTTCGCATAAATTCTTACAAAATCTTTATTAATTAAAAAATTATGAAAATTATTAATTATTCCTATGAGAAAATGAATGAATTAGTATTCGTTTCATGAAAAAGAAAGAACCATGTTTTAGTCTTTTGTAGTCTGAAAAAAATCTGTAACCGTTTTATTGTAATTTGTATTTAATAGATATTTTACAGGGTGTTCAGCAATCTCTTGGGTTTGGTCAGGGCGAAAGTAACGTCATAAATTTATCCAACTTTGCGGGGCCACTCTCTAAAGTTATTAGTTCTTTAAGTTGGGTGTTGAAAATCTATTTTTCTTGGTAATTTTTTTGTTTCTCATTAAATCTGGCCAATTTTTTGATAAAATCTATGTTTTAAGCTACTTCTACTACTAATTTATTTTAATTCACTGATGTTACTTAGGAGGCTTGGCAGTCTTGTTCCGCAAAAAATATATAGGCCTCCCTTTTAAATTGTTATCGTCATTTTTAATATGTTCATACTTGTTTAATGAAATAGATGCAATTGTTTTTTTATCGATAGAACGATTCGTTTGTCTGATAAACGCTTTTACTACTATTTCTAAGGTTCTTAATAGTAATAAATACCTGAAATCAAAAATTAATAATTTATGCAAAAAAATTTGTTGTTTTCGGGTATTTATTACTACTACGACATGTTGGAAGTATCCCTTTTTCATTTAAAAAATAGTCCGGGCGAATTAGACGCTTTTAAAAAAAAATCATGTTATTTTAAGCACTATTCATTTGATGTACTTGGTTTGAAATCCGTATATTAAAAACCCGCCGAGATAAGAACCCTAGTTACCGTTTTCTTTTTGGTTTTGTGTTAATAACTTTTTTATTTTGCAACTTAAAAATCTGAAAATTACACAGACGCGAGATAATGTCATTACCATTCGATCATTTTTTACCGAATTTCGATATCTTGATTTGGACAGAAGATATACGCGCTCGCATTTTGGAATTTATAATTTTGGAGTAGGCCGCCATTTTGAAATTGGGGGTCCGGATTGCGGGTATTTGTTGAGCACCCCAACAGTTATCTTTTTCTGTAGTTTCATCCAATTTCAGTCAAATTCGTTCTTTTTATTTAATGCTGAAAATTTTTCACATTTTTTTCTTCACCGCTAACTTTGCAATGTAAATAAAATTTTGCGAGCTTTCGGAAATACCTATCCTTGTAGCAAATTTCCTCAGGAACAAAATCGATAAGTGTACCTCATGTCGATTAAAGGCTCATTTTCGGAGATATAAGCGAAAAACTGAAAAAAGAGCAATATATTTTTTTTTGTTTTGTTATATTGTTAACTATATGACGCTCGATCTCTACCTACAAGTGTACTTTAGGCTTTTATTCTGTGTATTTTTTACTTAGTTTTAAGCCCACAAAATTCAAGTTAGTCCCGATTTTTGAAACAGGCATTCACCCGGATTATATGGGAATCTTAAAAACGGCGACAAAAAATTGAAAAAGTGGACGTACAAATTTTTTTGGTGGTCTAACGAGGACACTGTCCTTGGGCTATAGACAAATTTATATTGGTAGAAATACCATCAAGTAATATAGGTTTTACCCAAAAATTAGACAAATTTAACGAGAAAGAAAAAATCGACTCCCAACTCTCAACTTCAAGAGCTAATAACTTTACGCGAAAAGACCGATTAAAAAAATTTATATAAACTTGTAGGGTAATTTTTGCAAGACCCGAATCCAAGATTTTGTCCACGATTTCCTGGACACACTGTATACATCAATAAAAGTATTTTAGATTTGTTAAAAGCTTCTTTCTAATATTTTTTAAATAAAGTTCTTAATTTCCTCAAGATTAATCTCTTCTTAACGTTTCAAAATGCACGAATTATCTGCCACTTATACTTTTAAGCACTTTTACCAATTTATTTCGAATCTGTAATAGTTTCTGCTCTCTGCCGTTTTGCGAATCACTTTGTACATGTAACCTGATGTCTGTTGAATTTACGTGTTATTGAAGACTTGGCTTCGTATTTAGTAAAATTAAAAGTTACTTTTTCATACACGATCGAGTTACAGCTAGAAGGATGCATCCTAACATGAAGGAGGACTTGTTGCTCAGATGGAGCTTCCTGCAGAGCTCCGACACCGTTATCCTGCCAAGTACATCCGAGAAAGACAACGCCGTCATACAGGTGGACGCTTCCATTATGCTAAACTTGATCTCGTCCTGAAGAAATAACGGGAAGAAGGTGCTGAAGGTGACGGTGCTGAGGTAACCAAAGGACAGGCCTATTACGATGTGAACGAAGGACAAATCTTTCAACAGGTTCAGACCTAGAGATTTGACGAATTTTCCGCAGCATGTCGTTCCTGGTTCTTCTTTGGCATTTGCGAATTCTGTACCTGGAACAAGTGGTTCCGTATTAGCAAGGAGAACATAGAGACATCACAATTTATTTTAAATTTTCTAGCAAAAACAAAATATAATCTAATCTAAAGCCTTAAAGCTATTTGTAAGCTAATATAAAATAAAACAAACAACTATATATACCTCAAAATCAAAGATCAATTATGTCCTGTAACAAAATATGGCAGCTTACACGCAAAAATGACCTATTGATAATGTTGTAATGGTTTTTATTATATTTAAATGAAAATATCAATATTCACGTTTCGTATTTTTAACTATTCTTAGTTCTGTCTTTTATATATTTTTATTTAAATTCCAAGAAATAATTAACAGTTTTTAATTATCTGGCAGTAGTAAAAAGATTAGCAATTAATCTCATTTGGTTTAAAAATAGAAATAAAGGAGTATAGTATGTTAATCTATCTAATTCAAAGGATGAATTGCACATATTCTGTCACGTGTCTCGACTTTTATGACAATATTACATAATAATGTAATACTAATTACAAGTCCTTGATAAAGTCCAATGAAACTCATGAAAAGGTCTCCAGGACAAGGTTAACAAATATGTACAAATGATACACGTACTGTAGCTTGTGAATAAAATAAAATGCACGATATATTGTGCATTTTATAATAGAAACTATATAAGTAAAGGTAAAGTCACTGAATCTACATGTAATTATGTAAACCAGTTGCAGGATATTAGGAGACGTTGCCATTAAGAACCTCAGAAAGCATTTTGATGCCACTCCAAATTCAATAAGTGCATTGATTCTGCATTGTGAACCATTGTCTGCATTGACACATGGTTCACAATTTTTGGTTATAAAAAAAATTCGTAGGTATCCATCGGTTATTTCGAATAGGATTATTTAAAAAAACAGCAAGTACTTTTTTCAAATATTAAAAATTATGTATTTCAACAGATTTTTTCTACACCATAATTAATTTTCAAACTGAACTAATAGTCTTTTACGTTAATCAATGATGATTAGTTTTGTAGTGCTGACAATTTGACGCAACATCACCGTTACACCTTATATGCACATAAAAATAAAGATAGAACCTAGATCATTAACTTTTTTAATTACTTTTTGAAACATTCGAGCATAGCAGTAATTAAAAACAAATTATGTGGAATTTTTTACTTATAAAATGAATAATACATTTTTAATAGACCTTTTCTTATGAATTTAATGCGTTTAAATTATTAATTGCCTTCTAGAAAGGATGTGGCAAGTGCAAGTATTTGGTCAAACGGAACACGGAATATTCCAAATTGTTGTAATATTGAATAATTTTCCCAAATAAACCGTGATACGAATTCTGTTTTTTTTTTTAAATATCGTGTCTTTCTTAGAGGGCATATCGAATAAATTTTAATATCGTGAATAGCAAATAACTCTGTTATCAGTACTTCATTTATTATTTTCTATCTTATTTTCAAGGAACAACCAATAACAAATACGAAGCACATATTAATATATTTTTAGAAAATGGTGAGTGTTGTTTTAGTGCTGCAATTTTAACAACCTGAGACAAATCTGACTAAACACAAGGCTAATAAGAACATTATTTAAAGAAATGGTTATTTTCCACGACAATATTTGTGGCCATCTATATCTACAACAGATGACCACAAACATGTTTAAAACTGTCAATGTTTATTGCGACTTGTTTTGAACCAAAATAGATCGGCCTTATAATAAATTACGAAATATCTGGGTTGGTCAGGAGTGTTGAAAATAGTAAATATAGTAAACAATGGAATAATCCGGCTATGAACGACATTCAAATTGGAAAATACTAGATTTTGATGTTTACGGATACAGTATGTAAGTTTATTTTAGACTGGCCACTGATTTATTAATAATATTTTAATGACTTTTTTTTTGAATCCCCCAATATCTTGCATTTACAATTTAATTATGGAACAATGAGTATGACAGAATCGAAAAAGGTCATTTCGAAAGAACTATATCACTGGAAGATTATTAATTTATAATATTCATTCCAACACAAGAATTAACCCACAAATTGAGTGCTTGTGCGGGAGAGGGGGAGGCATATTATTGTCCTGTATGTCACGTTGGATTCAGAGGACATTAAAAAACGATTAAGTCTAAGGAAATTGTCCCCAATTTATAAGATGACTGTCATATGACTGTTCAATCAAACATCTGGCAATCTATTTATCCAATTATATGCACTAAGACTTAATGCAAACGCATAGTATTAACGTTTATTGATTTTATTAGCAAAGTCTAGAACAAATAATACAATTCATACCGCCTTTATTACACTGGCTGGGAGTGAACTCGCAATGTTCCGTGCATTTTCTTTCTGCTCGAGAGATACCGTTACATTATACATGTTACAGTACATATTTCCATAAATGTAGCTCGTTTGTTTCCTCTTTACCTTGAAACGATAGTAAATGCAGAAAAAGTTTAAAACGCTGTCCGAAAGCATTTCTTTGTGAAAAAGGATTTCGTAAACTGCAATTATTTCTTAAATTTTATTTAGTCAGTAATCATCAGTAATAATGATGATTCAACGTCACTTGACACTGGATGTATAAACAGACTTAATATATTTGTATATAAAAATGTGATTGTGGTTACTGCTCCTGGAAAACAATAATCATTACATTCGTTGCGTAATATATCAACAATAACAGATATATTTCACAATCTTTGTTTATAAATATTTATCTCAATTCATCACAATATTGTAATTTGTTCAAGACATTAATTTTTAAATAATTTAAAAACTAGTAAGTGAAATAATTTGAAATTGGGCACATGTATTTATGTAAACATTGTCCAAAATCTGAGGTTTCATTTTTGGTCACCATTTGTGAATCACCCTGTATAAATTGAATGCAATTTGGGATGTTACTTTGTTATCAAAGGCTTTCCTACAACGATATTTTTAATCATCGGAAACGTTTGAAAAACATTAAAAATTACAACCCCGTAATGGTTTTTCATTGTATCTTTTACGCAGTTGAAGATTTGCAATTCAAAATACAAAATACCATTTAAAATTTGGCTTATTTAATTTAATTTTGGGCAATTACTTAAAATCTTAATGTGTAATTCTAAAACGGTTGAGTGTAGCGTCTATTGCCTTAATACCATCTTTATTAAGAATTGAACTCGATTTAATAATTTCTTTCTGGAAACTGGTTAGATATATTTTTACTTTGGCAGGATAGTAAGACTAACGTCCCCTAAAAGTAGCTAAAAAACAGTTACCATATTCGTAATTGCCATCCAAAAAACTATGGATGTACACATATCCAAGACGGGTTGTCTAAATACAAATAAAAAAATTAAAAATATTTTTTTGAATTTGACGCCTTATAGAACGAAAAGGAGCAATATTCGAATAAGACATATGTAGTTCAATTGTCATAATTTGACGTCAGCAATCTTTGCTTTAATCAATCATCCTGTATAAATTAGTGTCAAATGAAACAATTTTTCTCGCAGAAGGTTATAGATGGATTTAGATGTGTAATAAACCTGGTTTAGCGTAATGTATTTCTTGGGTTTTAATGTCTTTTAAAGCAAGTGTTTTCACTTTTAATATAACCTCGAAATGGATTTTGCATAATTAAGTATTTTGTGATGAGGAAGCAAACACGGAAATACAAACAAAATAAGGAAATACTTCTTCAGTTTTTAAATGAAGTAGGAACTAATTTGCACAGTTTATTATTTCGCGATTATTGTATTTACATGTCTTTTTCCACCATGATTTCAACCATGAACTATTATATTTTTCTGCTCAACTTGATGGGAACAAAAATACGTCGAATCGCTCTTTTATGTTCAAAATAGGAACGTAGTTCAGGCCATCCATATTGCTGAAAGGACAATATCTCACATAATATCTCATATTGGCCAAAATAGAATCAAACTGCAGTAAAAGCCAGCGAGTTTATAGATATATTAATACCATTAGAGCTTTGCACACACACAACCGTAAATCAACGGGCATTAACGGGCGTTTGAATGCTATCACGAGGTGTTTTTTGGCATTATTAAACTTGTAAATTGCAGTAATCACACGAGCAACAATGGTTTTGACGCATATTAAACATTAACTTCCTGCGAAGAGATGTTAAATATGCCGCATGTCATTAAAATTAACATTTAGGACAGATCTCTGCATAAATTTAAGAATAATCATAAATAGCAGTACATTCCACACTGTCATAATATTTAAATACTTCACATGGATAAATGTTTGTGTAACGTGTGTGGCACCCTTTACCGATTAAAACGGTTGTCTGTCAACATTTCGAGTTTTTTAAAAACTACTTTTCTAACTGAGGATATAAACTAACCACAAAAAGTAACGGAGAAAAAAAAGCAAATTGGAGCTTGAAGTTTCTAGTTTCAGAATATGAAAATCAACAATTTTATTATTTTATCCAAAAATTTTGCTTCCAAACTTTTTAAGGAAACAAAATGTACTAAAACAACTTGATCTTAATCGATTCATTTGCGATACTTTTGAGGTAAGGTCCGTACACTTCTGGACACCCTATATGTAAAGTATTCAGAAGCAATAGCCACGTTTCTTTCGTTAATATTGTATAATTCAAATTACAGTAACTGATCGTCGGGTCAGTTATCAAAAGAATTGTTGCAAAGGGTGTTAAACATTACTACGATATTGTCAATTTTCGCTTTTAAAATTCCCTCAACGTTTCCCAAAGGACAAACTTCAGCTGAAACGTTGGCCGACACATTGATTGGTATGCTACTATGTTCTCAACAATAACATCTGAATGTTAACAGTAGTCTTTGTAATAAATCAAAGTAAAGGAAAAATCACAGTACTTTCATACATAAACATTTTGTATTGTTTACTTTCGCGATGTTGTCCCTTTTCTTCATTGAAACGAAATATTGCGCATGACTTATTGAACTAAATCGCTTTGATTCAACATGAACTATTACAGAAAGTTATTTTGTATTCTGCAGTCAAAGTTAACGTTTGGTACTGTTTGGTTATTCATACTTAGAGTCAAAATTAACAACTTAAAACAAAATAAACTTACTGTTTGCCATCGCAATCGCTGAATCTCTGTAATTAGCCTGCAATCCATTGGATATAATCGCTGCTGATCCTTTTTTAGTTAGTGGCTTTTGTTCCAACAGATTATGATCCTCCATTAACCGTTTCTCACTATCTTTGCCATTTTCTTTGATATCATCATTAAAGTTGACATCATAATCACTTTTGGTTCCATTTTCTACCACAACGGTCCCACTCTTTTTCATTCGTTTGCAGCAAGCACACATCGGCTGTAATGATTGTAGATGAGATGACAATAACAGTTACGCACATTTTTATCTAAAACCTAATTTACCTTGAACAACAGGGCTCCCAAGATACCAGTGTAGCTGATAGCTCCAAGGATCATAGTTGCTCCACTGAAATAATATTTCTTTAAGAGTATACCGATGAAGGTGGGGAAGACCATTTGTCCCACGCTTGTTCCAGCCATTGCCAGACCCACAGCAGTGCTCTTCTTCGTGGTAAAGTAGCTGTTTATAGCCAGAAAAGTTACAGATGCTAGAAGGCCCAGGCCCAAACCTGAAAAAGAAATTGTATTTTATTTTTGATAATTGATGGTTTACCATGTTGAGGAAATTGTAAGCGAATGTTATTTCACTAAAAGCATTGGAAATGAACCTCTTTGAAGCTACATGATTATTCTTACTTATGTTACACTAAATTACGTTATTCAAGAAGATACTACTCCTCATAATTTAGGTATAGAATGAGAAAAAGTTCAAAGTAATAAGTTTTAATACCTAGTAAAATTAAATTATTTGAGTCTCTCGTGCTTGAGACAGCCTGTACATATTTAAACAAATATAACAGCATTAATCACACGCGTGATTCGAGATCATCTAAAAAAAATACTGTACATCACATCTCTATAACAGGCAAAACATTTTCGTAGTCAATTAACGTAATAAGCTATAGTGTACTAATTTAACATGACAACACATGAATTATTGACCAATTCATAAACCAATCACGGTGTAAACAAAACCATGTTGGATTAAATCGAATATTAAATTACCACATTCTGGATATATATAGAATCTGATGATGAATCTTAACAGCTATAATCCGTTTTATTGTTGAAGTTCAAATTTTATTATTCGAATAAGTGCCTTCTATAACAATATAACTTTTATGGATTCACTGATCCAGTAAAAAAAAAGACGTATGACACAAAACGAACTGGACGAAATTTTATCAGAAATTATGTACTCGCTATTTTCAAATACCCGTGGATTTGATAAACGATTATTAGCTTTACAGATTTTTACTTGTTATAAATCATATACGTTTTATTGCCTTCCATTTATGTTGAGTAAGAGTAAACATTCAGGGTTCTAATGCGATTCGATTAAACGGATAAACAATTACAATAAACAAGTAAATAAGGTTGGTGTAAAGACAACAGTTTGTGTAACTTTTGCAAATATTTGTATATTTTATATATTTTTTCTTTGAGGGTCTCAAGACAATGATAAAAAAACTTCTTAGATCAATGGTTTCCAACAAATATGATGGAAGCATATTTTGATAACCCATGAACCTAAATTTTTAACTAACTAATACTGCGTACAGTACAATCCAGTATCCACCCACCTAATTCTGCAGAAATTTCCTGGACGTACGAAAATAAAATCAATCCTGTAACAACCTAGTCCTTGATGAATTTCAGAAACCCTTTATTTCCTGAAGCCCCAAAATCTGCTACAAAATTAAATAATGGATTTCTGTTTTTATGATGGGGAGGACATCATCTCAATTTTACGTCAGATTTCGTGAAACGAATAATTTTCTTCACTAACAATTAGACACAAATTGTCGTCACCTAGTGATAGTTTCCCCAATTATAAGAGAAATTAAAATTTCTACAGCGACTTTGTTCATGTTCGTAAATTACATATTTCATAAAAATGATATTAAGCTGGTGTCATTAAATTGCGATTATCGGCTTTTTCTGTAATGTAGAAAGTGTTGTTATTGCGTGTTCTTGTTAAAGAACGCTCCACGGGTACCGAAACAGTTTCAAGCGAAATGTATTGTAATAATGAATGATTGTACGGAAGATAAGTGTAATTGCTGACGTGTCAGTGAAACTCTAAAAATAAAATACTTGACTGTTTGATGTGCTCACGTAGCTGTAGAGGAAATTATTAATTCAACCAAATTTACCATACACTTTTTTACGACAAAACTGAAATGACGTCATTAGTTAAAAAAATCTTTTAATATGTTGTGACTTCTGCCAATTGGCTGCAACGTTGTAAAAATGGATTATCCACTCAATAAAAATACATGAATGCTGTTTCAAATGGACAAACTTGATATCTGCTATAAGTGTAATTTTTTTTATTATTGCGATTGGAAAGTTACGTTAAGTTTTGGTATGGTTAAACTCGCTTCACTCTTTTATCCCAACGATATGTAGCAAAAAAGGGAACATTATTTTATAGAAAATGAGATAAAATAATTCACAGTATACTATATAAGAAAATAATTTGAAAGTAAATAAAATATATGTTCAGAAAATGATAAAATCAATGCGGTGGTATTATCATTTATAGCAAAAAGGAGGAAATATGCTACAGCAATGACTTTCTTAATTTTAGATACTACCGATACATTTTTAAGAGCCCAGTATTTACAGTATTCATTAATGTAAATAATCCTTATGTAGAATATATCTTTCAATAGGATTATTCGGGATTATGGGCAATAGCTGCAAAATCTGTTGATCTTTCTGTATTAATTTAAATCCATACACCACAAGGTCGTACAGGATTAATACAACATCAAAAGAACCGCTAAGTTTCTTATCGTTATATGGTATCATTAGTCGAAATACTATTAGTCTAATTGTTAAACAAGCAACAAATAATGTTTTAACATTACGCCTGTTCCAATAAGAGTCAAGGACAATTTTTCGAATAAGTTCAAATAACAAGGCCGATTCCATAAGTAAAATTTTATACAGGGTGCTCGGACAAGACATAGCAATTTAGATCAAGTTATCTAGACACAATTTTTTTTTGTTTTAAGATAGCGCTATTACATTTTTAGACACAAATGGGACACCTTTTTTTGTTAGTAGAGTTTTAATTATATGGAGATGATGCACAAAACATCACTTGATTTAATATAACAAAGAAAGGAAAGGGAAGCTATATTAATTACAGAAATATACGAACATTTATCCGCAATCACCTAATCTGAAGTGTACTTTATCCACTAGTGGAATAAACTAACTTTATTTTACTATTAGGATAATGAAAAAATAATAACACTATAATAAATCAAATTTAACTTATTTACTTATTAACATTAACATTTACATTTATAGTAATAGACTTTTCGTCTTTTGTTTTATCACATTTAACTTACTTTCCGTTAATACCAACCCTTGCAGCATTGTGGCCATCATTCTCGGAACGCATAACATTTACCGAAGTTTGTGAAGAATTTGCACAAGTTACGGATGTCTCTTCTTGTAAGGAACAGCTATATTTTTTTCCAATACTGCAGCTTTTTTTGCTTTGTATCATCTCGATTCACTCTTCAAATAAGCAGTAAGCTTGTTATATTTTCCAATATTTATATGTTTGTAGATTTTTATAGTAGCCTTCAACATCGAATACTTCGACCACATAGAAGAAATTGCATATTTTTTCTTCAAATTTAAAAAATACGATACCATGACTTCTTGATTTATTGTCATTACTCTCCGTTTTTCCCTCCATTCGTTAAATTCGGCGAACACTTTTTCGTAATGTTCCCTGAATTTCGCTGGCAATAAATGGAAAATTGCTTCTTGAGCTTCTTCAGAAACAGCCACAGGAACACAATTACTCTCTTGCAAATTCGGATAGAACTATTTATTAAATAATTGATAATAAACAACGTACCATAGCAATCAGTAGGTATAACAAAACCTACAACGTTTCATTGAGTACTAGTAAGAAATACCAAGTCGTGCGAATATTTTTTTATTAAATTCCAATAATTCTGACTCCAATATGATTGTGATGTGATTATGGATAAAACGTTGTATTGCATTCGTGTTTTAATTGCCTTTTACCCACTTAAGTATATTAAACTACGTTCTCACGTTTAAACATTCTTGCGTGGATAAAATACTACTTAAAACACAAATAACTATTTTAAATTTCTTAGTGACGTCACCGACCTCGCACGCAAATGCCGATCGAACTCTACGAATGACTGTAAACGACCCTCTACAAATTTTATAAAATATAAAAAGCCGCAAAGAAATAATTGTGTTTATAAAATTCGCGATATTTCTGGCATCCGGCTGGTAAACAGAAAGAGGAATCACATGCCTTTCTAGCCTGTTCGGCGACACGAAATATCAAACAAACAGACACTTGTTGATCTCCGGAGCTAGACGGATGGATCAACAAGCCACTGGCACAGAAAACAATTTACGTTGCACTGTGGAATAAGTTAGAATACATGTTATCCATCACGTATCCCATATGTATTACATGTTCGAAGAAGTGTACACTTGACGGGAACTGCAATTTATTTTCATTTAATATTTCAAATGCCAAATGAATTCGACAATGCATCAGAAAGTTATATACACATCGATACATTCTAGAAGAATATTGATGAAAGGTACTGTAGAACTCTTACCCTCGAACATGCAACAGCCATTTGTTTTTTTATACATGGTGTTCTACAAAGTCTATGACGAATTTTGCCAGATGGTAGCTGGATTAATTTCAAACACTTTTTCTTATACGAACATGGGTCCAATTCGTTTTTGTTTAGAAGTTACAAGCATTTAAAAAATATTACTTCATATTTCAATCAAAATTAACAAATTTGGACCAATTCTTGTCTGGTTAGCTGCATCCTGAATTATTTCAAGTAACTGCTGACGGGCAGTGATTTCAACATGGTAGACATACGTCATAGACATAGACATACGTCGCCATAAATAAAAGTCCAAAGGATTTAGATCTGGGGAACGCGGTGGCCATCATGCTATTGGACTTTGTTAACTTATCCATTTATTCGGGAAATAACCATTTAACCAAGCAGTTACTTGTTGAAAATGCTACCCCAAACGTTTACACTGAAACGTTGCTGAAATCGTCTTGATCTAGAGAAATAGAGAAGTCTTGTATGTATTATAACAATTTTCCTTGTCAGTTACTAAATTATTTGTAATACTCAAAACGAACTTAATAGAATCTCTTAGATGATGCGATCAAGTAAAACAGAATACCACCTTTAAATGATACTCGAGCGGAAAATAGCAAGGCCCTAAGCTCCTAATCCTGCCACATCTGTCTTAATAATGAAAACAGCGGAAACTAATTGGCACTAAATCTGCCTCAAGCAGATTATTTTCGTTTTACATGTAAATTCATTCTTTGTGTTCTAATTAGCGAAATTATGTACTTATATAAGCTCCGTCGTCTAAAAAATTGATTGAGTAAATACTAAAACAGCTTTAAGTAATTTTTTTATATTTTTTAAAAATCGAATTATCATGTTCTTTCAATTTACCAAAACTACCCACCCTTGTTCCTATTTTGTTGAAACTGTTTCAATCTGTAAAGAACATGTCTAGAAGTAGAAATATTTCTTACAATGTTTTAAAAGCTACTGAAAATATATTAAAATGAAGAATATAGAAGAAGATATAATATTTTGACACAACAGAACCATCAATCAAAATTATTAGGGATTATATTTTTTCGAATCTATAACAAATCAAAACAAAACCATAAATTCCAATCCATCGGATTTATTATTTTTTAGCAGGATAACTAAATTGCTTCGATAACAATCGTCTATTCTATGAGTGTAATAGTACTTGAAAAGTTATTTGCACAATGATACCAACATAAACAGTTAAATAGCATATTAATTAAAATATCAGAATATAGACACAATCAACACAGAGTAAATAAATTCGAAATTGCATATTTTGTGTTAGAATATAACCGCTCTACACAAATTAATAAGTAGAGCAATATAGAGAGGCTTCATAAATGATTACAAGCCTCGTGATCGGTAATTTTATTTCCATTATGTTGGCAATTAAATTTCGGTAAAATTAAAAGTTATTAAAACGAGATCAAAACTTCAGTAGGTACTTTCAGTGACTATTTAATACTATTTGGATTCTGACAAGAGGTTTTGTAAGCTACGCAACCCTACGCTCAAAACAATTTTATGTTGGAAACGGGCATGATTATATATGAACTGTTTTAGATAATAAAATATGTTTAACATAACATTTCCGTACTAAAACTTCCTGCCTCACTTATTTTTAAGGCCAAACTGAGGATGAGTTATTTCAAACACCTGCGTCCACGTGATCTAGAGCTGTTTGGGCACCAAAATGTGTCGTGCAGTACTCGTGACGATTATATATTTCTATTTAAATTGCAAATAAGCCGAGGAGGTCACAAAGAGGAATGTTTACGCTCGTACACAGCGTCTAGTATTTTATGTGACGTTCCACCTCGTGTGGGCCGTCCGTGAAGGAGTCTTGATAATTTTTCCTGTTTTGAAGCGATCTTGAGAATTTTATTTTCTTCGATTCCCTGAAATACATGGTGTTAATGAACTTATGTCCAAAATTTAAAGGGTGAACAAGGAACAAAAACTGAGTTAACTAATGTCAAAAACTTGTATAGGAAGTTTAAGGTCATAGAGAAAAAAGCTAATTAAAAATGTGTTAAAACTGTTTTGGAACTGCCGAAATACATCTATTTTATCGCGGCGAGTACTTAAAACAAATTCTGTAACACTTTTTATGGACTGTATTCGAAAGTCAGTTTGCAATACATTGTTGTAGTGATTGCTGTAATTGTAATACGATTCGAAAGAATGTGGCAATGTTGCAACGCGTACGAGCAAATTGGATACGTCGCGTTGAAGCTTGTGTGCAAGCAAATGGTGGATACATCGAACATCTTCTATGAAAATCAGCAGTTCTCAAAAGCTGGCTCCTTGCAATGTTGAGGTAAGTCAGATTTTAAAATTACATTTTACGCAACACAAATCCGTGTATTTATTTACCTCATTTTGACAAAACGGGCATGTGGCAAACATATTTGACATAAGTTCATTAACACCCTATATATTGATCGACTCGAAAGGTGGAAAGAAACAGTCCGAAAAGTAAAAGCTCTGGATGAAGCAAATAAGGTCAGTATCATGATAAACATACACTAAAATACTAATAAATTGTTTCGTATTCTCAAAATTAAAAAAAAGAAAAACTATTTCGGAAATTGGTGAATTATGAAAGCTGAGTTAACAATATTAACACCCTCTTAACACTTCAAACAGGTTCCACCGTGTACTGCTCTCTAGATTCGTAAAAAAACAAAATGGCAAGTGTACACAAGCTGTTGACATGCGGATAATTGGCAAATATACACATCTTACATAGAACCTTTAGAAATGTTTGACGAGCTATTTGTCGTGCCCTCATATTTCTCATCTGTATAGCGTATGTATCACACAACTTTGCGGTTTAGATTTTGTGACCGCATCGTATGAAGTCAGTTTTAAATTCCATATAGATATAGTTAAACTACAGCAGTAGATAAGAGTATATAGACAGCAACAGATAAGAGTATATAGAAACATCTTAAAAAATTAATTAAATAATAAAAAGCAGATTGCTTGACGACTAAAATCTAAATTCCAGATAACAATACTACTTAAAAATAAATACGTAAATATTATCAAATTGAGCTATAATTAATTATGATTTAGACATCAGATCCAACTACTTTTATTTTTCACTTACTAATAAATATTCAACTACTCTATACTTTACTTGTATTAACTGCTCCCACTATCCATGTCATTGTACACGTTTGCCTCTGATCTGAAGCTCCGCATCGATCAATTTATTCGATATGTATCTAGCGGCACCCTAATGCCTGCCCTGTCGGTAAGGTGAATAATTCAGATTTTTTACTATGTGCATTTAATAATTGTCATTTGTGCGTGTTTGAGTAGCATTGCGTATTGGCGACGTTTATCACTTAATATTAATTGTGTAGGGAAAATGACCGTTCAACGTCTACTGTTGACAGTGGACAGTACGAGAAATTGTTGAGGCAAGAACTATATGTTAATATATTTGCTGGTAACTCCTGATATGTACCAGATAAAATTTTACATATGTTTTCCAAAATGATGTATCCTGGATTTTTTCCCAACACTCTTTGCGTTTTTTTCTTTTATCGTACTACTAACTGGGCATATTTATTGGCATCATATATATATTTTTTAACACACGGCGAATACATTTTACAGCAGACGTAAAAAAGAAAGGTATCGACACAACACCAACTACTAAAAGGTTCCGTAAATAACTGAACAGTTCAAAACGCGAGTCAGCTGTGAAGGCCACCGACCCTTGCGCCGGCTCTGTTAGACTCTGCACGTGCACTAAGCCTACTAATAACTCTTATTACTATTTTTATATATCATGGGAATTGATTTTTAAAGAATACATACCAAGTGTTTCGTAAAATATTTCGCATTATTATTATTATTATTTTTACAATACCTGCCTTAAAGGCGATTATCAATAATTTTTTAAACGTAATTATACATATACTTTTTTATTTAATATAGTAGAGATTTTTTTCCGAATACAAGGATACATGAAAATTTTATTTTCTGACGAAAACATACCCGTGCTATGACGTGATGTGATAATAACATATTTCTATTTAGATGGCATTTATCTCTATGATAATTTAGTTGTTTTCATGATATATTTAACAATTTTGTTGGACGGCTCGAATTAATACCAATTACTACATTTTTCGTAAATTCTTTCACAAATATCGTGGAAAAAATCAAAGGTAAACAGGTGAGCAATATTATATTGCATAAATTGGGTCAAGAAAATTAATTAATGATGAAATTGTGACTTGTACCACATTTTCTTAACTTACCTGTAACACAACTGTATCCGAGTATAATCTGCCAGATCTCCGTTGAAAAACTACAGCAGATCATGCCGGTTCCAACGCACAGTATTCCAAATATGGTGATAGTCCTTACACTGAATTTTCTCATGAGAGGACCGACCAAGAGGCCGGAAAAATTAGTAACTAGCACACTACCCGACATGACTAACATGATTCCCGTGGCTTTCCCATCAGCCATAGCTTCCAACTCTTCACCGAAAATCAGACCGAAATTGGCGAAGAGGGCTTGATTGACCATCTGGAAGAGACAAAAAAACAATCGTATAATAAGTTATAAGCAAATGTGAGCATTACTGCGACATTAAGTGCAAAAGAGAAGCATTTCTATAGGCTTTTATTGATTCCAGCAAAGCATATCAGTACTTTGTCCGATATAAAATGCCTTGTTATGTTTTAAATTCTTAGGAAAATATCGGTGCTATCAGTGTTCTATGTAAGGTTTCCGAGTTCTTTAAAAATAAGGCTTCTTTAAGATACGTAATGATTTGAATTTCATGCTGGTTTCTGTATAAACGTCTTTAGAATTAAAATAAACGTTGGATGATAAACGCTTAATTTATATGTGACTGACTTGCTAATTAATACAAGGCAGTGCGTGTACTGTTTTCTACAACTTTTGAGTACCTTCCAGAATTATGTATACTGCCGTTGATATACGTAATAAACTGTCTAAAATGCAGTAACAACCTTTTCAATTTTATGGTTGCCAGTAATAGTTACAGAACAAGTCTTAAAATTTTTACCCACAGAATATCGACTCCTGTTTTACATGATTAGGTGTTGGGGAAAAATAAATAATTAATAAATGAATAAGCAGAACATCAAGGATTTTATTTGTGTGCTTCCTTTTGTTCTACACGTTTTACTTTTCAAGATTTCAGTATCTAAAAATACCAGAAATTTGACTATTTCTCGGCCAGGGATATGGCCACCTTAATCAAAATTCTACAAGAGGTCCAAAAACTTCCAAATCGTATCACCTAACAGATAAAAAATAGTTGTCATTATTGCCCGAAAGAGGAAAATGTTATGAACGGATTTTATCAACTTTGTAGGAGTTTCAAGTTTAAAAAAACACTCTGAATAACACCAAAATGTATAGATGGAAAGCAAAAATTCACACCCCCAATTCAAAAAATTTTCACGAAATTTAAGGCCATCTAGCGGCCAAACAAAGCGATTTCGGATATAGGTGAGTTAGCCTAAATTTGCCTATTTTGAGTCCATTATGGGACACAATGTATACGTAAAAATATTTAGAATACTATATTTTACATAAAAAATCGTTATCGTAGATCAAATTTTAATGTAGTGGCAATAATTTTGACTGTACTTGATTATTTTGTACGAAATCTCAACAGATATATGTATTTATCTCAAAAACATTATTTTGAGTGCTCTAGACATCTGATTAGTTCAAATTCAAGGACCTACGCCTATTGCTTCACGTGACTGTGACAATGAGGTTGTTTTTTTCAAATATTTTCAAAGCATTTTCAATACTGAAATTTGATGGAGTACGTAATTTTTTACAATGATTTCAGTAAGTTGCATAGATTCCAAATATGTAAAATATATTTTTAAATTATGTATGCACTGTATACAAAAAAAAATTAATTGTAAATGAACTGTAACTCATTTGAAAAGACAGTTAAAAATTGTGTGTGTCTTACAATCGCAACATATTGACAGTGTACTGAAATTATTAGGAACAGTTTTCAAAAAAATGTCTTGAAATAAGTGGTTACTTATAGAAATTTATGCGATGTAAATTTTCCATACCGTTATTTGTTAATGATGAGTTTTAATAGGTAATACCACTAGTACTTTAAAAAACATTTAATAGCGATAATAATAAAACGACTTTCATCGTTGTCTTAGCAATTAGCCTGCATAAGTACAAAGACACCGCGTATTTGAAGTTAAAACTGTTTGATGATTTTAAAAATATATTTTTTCTAATAACTAGTCAAGTTAATTTAGATAAAATTTTTCGCAATTTAAATAATTATCTGTACAAGGATGTAACTCAAAATCCAAAATTTATCTGGAGATGTATATGATATGCGAAGGGCAACTGATAATTAAATAGTATTAAAGCCAAAACATTTTGAAGTTTCTACAATTAAAATTACTTTAATCATAGAATGAACTACAAACGTATTTCGATGTTATCTTCTATGGACGAGATAAAATTTTATTTTACGAACTTTTAAGTTGTATTTTGCATATGACGTTATAATACATGTACTTGAAACTAGTTAATTAATTTTTTGAGACTTTTAACAATACTATAAGACTATAAGAGGTAATAAATAAGTGATTATTTTGTTGAAATAGATTATGCAATGTTGCAACATGGCAGCTTGCTACTCATGCTACAAAACTGATGTGCTAATATAGACTTTTGTATTATTCAGAATAACCCTGCGTTGGTTACATTTTAAATTATTGATTCGTATTTAGAATTGTAATAATCCAGGAAACTCGAATGAAAAAAGTAAACGCGGTTGCCCAACGCATATTACTTTCAGAGTAATTCTATTTTCAGAGTAATAAAAGGTATAGTTGTAAAAAATATCAGTTTTCTAGGACAATTTCAACCAGTATTAGAGCTGAGCAGAAAATAAAGCATAACACGTTTGTTTCACATGCACGGATATGACACGAAACGACAAGTTTAAGCTGGAAACTGATGTCGAGGAATTAAACATACAGAGATGAACTAGTTCTCTTTGTACACCATACACAAATGCACTTGTATCAAATTGTTGTACCTGTATGTTAGGAAATTGAAATCATTTTGCAAACGACAACTGAAGGATGATATTAATGCCTATTCATGGAATCAACAGACGGGACTCTTCTTTTTCACTCATGGAATAAAGTCTGTGCAAGGCAGGTGGCTCAATTGTGTTGTAGTTAGGGGAGAGTACATTGAAAAATTTCACAAACTATTTTAAGATTTTAAGCACACCTATATTAATCACATACGTCACTATCTGTATATCAGCTAATGTTACATTTTTTTAAAATAATTATCTAACTCCTTACATCTTTAAATAGTAACGACTAAAATATGTACTTAAATTAAATATATAACATTTTAAGTAGGTATACGAGATGAACCCAAATTAATTTGTGGGCAAACCTTGAACAGAATTAACTAATCTAAAAAATATCATAAAAGATCACGTTTCTGTCATGCACGCCTATGATGAATTTTCATTAGATTCATTCAACGAGCTTCAATTTTTATCAAGACTATCCGTATCACAATTATTATATACCGGGTGGGGCATTTACCTTGTGACAAAATAATATCTCGGTTGGACTCGATTATTTCGAAAAAAGTTTCAGACAAAGGTCCATATTACGACTTAGGTACTACGAAAAACGAAAAAAAAAAACAACTTTTTGTTCTTATTATTTTTTCGGTTTAACTCGTATTTTGGCCATAAAGAACAAAAAAACAAGAATATTGAGACAACGGAGTACCTTGTTGGAATCACTTTTAAAAAAACCATGTGTCATACAAAAGTTGTAGGGTGAAAAGTGGGCGATCTTGACATGACCTCGAAAATGACCTTGACCTTGACTTAAAGGTCGTTAAATTCAAAATTTAAAAGCATAACGAAGCAAGAAATTGTCACTTTGGTATCAACCGAGTCTCAGGAAAATCTTCGTTCTCGCATATATCAGCAACAAAATACATTTTCGTAAATTCTATAAAAAAAGCGATATCTAATTAAAACATCGTTAACTGATAGTAATTATTATATATTTGAATAAATTGCCTTAATGAGAAAGACTGAATTAATTTTACAGATAAAAAAATGTCAAAAAAATATTAATTTATATCACGACATTTTTGGAAATGAATTAATAAATGTACGAAAACGTTGAATGTCGATTTTGTTTACGTTTTATATTTTACTGTAGTTTATTCACTATTGATTCAGTTAACAAATGGTTAACAAATGTCACTTAATATATCAATAATAGATAAAGCAAGTGAAAGTGTTGTTAAATAAATATTTATACAGAGTACTTGTCACCGGAAATTCTAATTTCTGGTACTAATCGGAAATTTTCGACCAATAAAATATTCATATGCCAAATAGTACAATATTGGCTTTAGATTAGATAGTTATAAACGAAAATATATATTTGTTTATTTACAACAAATCTATAATTAAATATGTCAGCACCCCTTATCTTTTTATCTGATTGTATAACAGCAAACACCGCTTGGAAATAAAAGATACACTATAAACAAAATGACAACTTAGTGACATAAAAATTTGAAAAGTTTTAAATAAAACACAAATTTTAATTTTAAACGAATATATGTATGTATTTCCAGTTTTTTATACAAACAGAATTTTACTTACATACGACGCAAAAATTAAAAAAAAAGTTAAACTATAGGATAATTAGTTTAGAAAATGAAATATGGGAATAAATTTTAATTTTAAACTGCTTTTGATAATGAAACTTTTAATATTTTATGAGGCTCTACCTATAAAGAAAATATTTTTTTGACTACGTATTTTTTAAAATAAATTCGTCTCGAATTACTTCTTAACCTAGTATCACCGATTTCGTTTTTATTTGACTTATTTATTTCTGCATGAAATTTTTGAATTCATTTTTTATTTAGACCAGAATTCCAGATATATTTTCCTGTAATAAAATTCAATGAATAAAAATATAACAAATTTTCATAAAAGAAACATACCTGTACAAAGTACCTATATTTTGATTTAACCAAAATTTCGGCATAAAGCAAATAATAAAGTATAAAAATTAACATAAATGTAAATTTACTTAAAAATATACCTATATATTTAAAGTTTTTATGTGATTCTGAGTCGTCTAGTCACATATCTGATGTTTCTGAATCTTCTAATTCCATAGCAACAAGCCCTTTGTCATCCTGATTATGAATTTTTTTCTAAAAGAGAAAATGATCTGATGATGTATATTAAAATAATTTCTAAAGGTTCTTTCATTAAATATAAACAAAGCGACTGTATCCTGGATTGTAACAAAAGTTAAATTTTTCCGCATTTTTCTAATTTTTGTCGGCAAAATATTTCTTAAGATTTCCAGATCTCTGGAAGAAACCTTTCGAAGTCAGCTCCTTAGCGTGTCGGGCCTCCTGCGATAGCGGGGTAGTGGGCTTGGCCACTCTAACTATACGCTTCTAAGATATGAGATAACTGAACGTAACAT